ATTTTTCTCTCCATTGCTGCCACCACCCTTCCACCATTGCTTCCACCACCTTCTCCTTCTGCAGCCTCCACCCTTCTCCTCCTTCCACCATTGCTCCACCAGTGCACCTTCAAATCACCACTCCAAGAATCACCTTCAACCTCTGAAATCACCTCCCTCACCTTCATCCTTAGCGACTCATCATCATGTAAACAGCTACCAAAAATTCCTTCCTGTCTTCTGAAACCACACCCACACCCACACCCACAACCACCAAACCCCACCTAAAAAGAACAAAATAACCAGTTTCCTTCCATGAACTGTGGAATCTCCAGACACAAAAACGTTTACACGAACACTTGCAGTGCACATACTATGCATTCACTCTCAGTCACACAATCCATTTTCACTGCCGCCACACCATACACGCCTCCCAACCTTCACCTCTTGCAGTTTTATGCCATTTCCTCAGCTTTAAAACCACCATGTGACACCACCCTTTATTCCCTAGCAGCTGCACACATGGACGTAGTAGAATTCATTCAGTCAGGGATAATCTCCATGCCACCACCGTCACCGACAGCAGGTCTGGGGAAAGACATTGGAGTGGGGAATTGGAGGAACTAGTGGGTGGGGGGGACAACAGGAGGGGTGTGTGGTGATTGGTGTCGATTGGAGAGGGTTTCTGATGTGGAAGAATCCATGAGATTCATAGTTGCATTACTTATAGCTTCCTTTCTATGGGTACATAGGATCAAACGTAAAGCAGTCTCTCTTGGCAGAGTTATGTTAAATAACCATACAAATGTTATTGCTTGTTTAAGACCACGAGTTCCAAAGTTTCCATTTATTTCTTTAATTTTGTGCCCAGTCAAATAGGTTCACATACATTGAAACATAGTAATTGCGTGAAGAAGAAATACAGTTTGTGCGATTGTGCACTTTCCTGGTAACTCCATGACTGATTGGGGAGTGAGTAGCCTGTGCCAAAAGAATAAAAGAGAAGGGCAATAATAAAATAAAGAGAAGAAACCCCAAAATACAAAAACAAAATGGAAACTTTCTTTTATGCAAAAGGTGCAAGGTTTGCTTCTCACCAGGCACCCTATGATGGGCCTCTTTGTCCCACAACACCAAAAGAATAAAACAAAGAAAAAAAAAGGAAGGGACAAGAAACAAAAAAAAATAGAAGTGTTTGTATAACCCGTATTTATGTTTCCAAATTATTTCTGGCTCAGGGCTTTGGTTTAGTGATAAGAGAGCGACACTTGTAGTGTGAATTGGGCCCACATCCTGAGTTTGAATCCAGTCGTAGATAATTTGATAAAAGCTTGTTATTTAAATGGAGAGGGGTAGAGTATGGGCCTATTATCCACTAAGTTTTAAACTGCGCGCCAGGTGGCCCTCGGGATTTCTTGGCCATCAAAAAAATGTTCCCAAATACTTTCTGTTACTGTATCCATAGGAATTCTATCTTGTTTCTTGTTCTGTTCGGGATAAATGTCATGGAACACAGACATGCTTGTATGTATTATGTTTTTATGACGGCTTCTGCTTCTTATTGTGCTTCAATTTCACAGATTCCTTTTGAAATCAATGCAGGCATTCTCACTGGATTTTAACTTAAGATCACACATGAAAACACACTCCCAGGAGAACTATCATATCTGCCCGTATCCAGAATGTGGAAAGCGATATGCACATGAGTACAAACTTAAAAATCATATTTCATCTACTCACCAGAAGGTTTGTAATTTGCTCTATCGTCCTTATCTTGACCATGATATACTAATACAGACTTTATGAACTTTTTCTATCTTTGATCACAAACAAGGTGTTATATGTCCTAAATATTTTATGTCCTAAATATTTCATCAATAATCACTTGCTGTGTCTTCCCAACTTTGGATTCTTAAACATTATTTGGGCCAATTCCTCTTTGTAAACCAGACTGAACTTTGATTTCACATGCACATGTATATACTTTCTTTGAATATATTTATCTTTAAGATTTTCTTTGCCCATAAATTCCAATATGCTGGAGGAGCTCTGTTAGATCTCCTTATTAGTATTTTTTTACGTTGCATATTACCCATTACCCTTCACTGCCCCATGTTCCCCCTTCATTTCCTCGTCAAAGATGTTTAAAGGAAAAAGATGCTATTCAATGTGTAATCTTGTCCTCAATATAAATGTGTGGATAGAATTTTTATCATCCTGTTAATGGTTGGCTTTATGTCACTTTAAGTATACTGCATAGAATAGAAGTTGACTTCATAACCAGAACTTTGCAGAAAAGACAGTAGTTATGCAGGGATTAATATCTTGTATCACTTCATCACTAAATTGATCACTTTTTGATGTTTGTGTTGACAGTTTCCTCTAATGATTTACTAGATGTTTAAGCTAATAGTTTCCTGTAGATATGTCACATGTGGATGCACCTTGCTTTTCATCTTGTAACGTAGCACTTGAAGCTGGATTTGATTACAATTTAAATCTTTTCATTATGTAGAACAACACACCAGATGCACATGCACATACACATGCACCAAAGTATACCCCGCCTGTGGAGAAGCCAGTGAAGACTCCGAAATCTTCTTCAGCAGCTTATGGCTCATCATCATCCGACCGCCCTTATAGCTGTCCATACGAAGGTTGTGACAAATCTTACATCCATGAATACAAGCTGAATCTTCATTTAAGGAACATGCACCCTGGTCATTTCCCAGAGGAGAATGCGAGAAATGTTCAATCCACTGCTGACAATGAGATGGATGAAGGCAGTGATCAGGATGCATATGCTGCAAGACGTGGAAACGGAAGAATTCAGAAACAGAGCAGACCAAAACCAAGCTTAAAGCAGCCACCTTTAAAAGTTGCACGCAAAAGCTCATCTAGTGCTGCTCAAGTCAATCTAAGTATATCGAAGAAACCTTGGCCGATTAAAGAAGAGAACTTCAATGAAGAAGATAGTGAAGAAACAGAAGAGGAGCGAGATGATGTTGGGGATGGATGGAGGTATGGTGAAAACGATGACGACGATGAAGAGACTGAAGAAGATGACTAGGCTTATATTTCATACATACTCATAGGTAGTTAAGTAGTAGTATGTTTTGGGATAAATGGTTGTCACTGTCTAGAAAATGGGATTGGACTTTGCTTATTAATGCCTTTTTGTGTTTTATGAAAAGCATGAGGTTTTAGCTGTTTCCTAAACCCCAGTTCCCCACCCTCTCTAGTTGTCTCTCAGCATAGTACCATGGAACATGGAGCTTTGCATAACACTGTGAGCTTCTTATTCATTTTTATTTCATAAAAACAAACTGAGATCTCTAATTATTATGTATAAATTTGACCATATCGAGGACTTGAGATCCATAATTTGTTATATATAATTCTAATTCTAACAATATCTATAAAGGACAATTAAATGGAATTTCAATTTTACATTTGAAGATGGTCACGAATTAGTTTTGAAGTTGCACCTAATGTCACAAGTAATCTTACTTACCTTCAATAACTATTTGGATGATTCATTCATACATATCGTTTCCTGATCTATCATATATTATGTTATATAGTATTGTACTCTATCATTTTGATAAAAACAATGTTGGATAAACTATATGTTTTCCCTAGTTTATAATATCATATATCAACAATTTGAAAATATCACACACTAATCTATATGAAAGAAAAAAAAAATGTTCGAATAAAATAATAAACAAAAATAAAATAAAAATAATTATACATAATGGCATCAAATCATCATAATATAAAATGATGTGTGTTTATATTTGAACCCGCAAATTCCTATTTATATGCCACTATTTTAAATTTCAGGCAGAAGGTAAGATTTAATGCTTTTTTGAAGTCAAATTTTGGATAGCATGAATTAATTTGAATCTGTGTTCTTTCTATTCACTTGATCTCCTGTTAATTTGACTATTGCAGTTATTTGATAAAAATAAGAAAAGGAAGTTAGGTTTCAACCTACAATGAATAAAGGAGCAAATGTTGGAGGAGGCGGACCAACTGCCGCCGCGGCCGCCGCCGCAGCTCAAAAGCAGAAGAGCTTACTGCAGAGGGTGGATGCTGATATTGGGAATATTGTTGACAATTATGGCTTCATTGTTAACGCTGCACGGGTATGCCCCCATTTCCTTCACCTTCTACCCAGTACTAAATACAGATCGCCCATTAAATTTATAGTTCTGATTTTTTTTTGGGGGGCGAAAAGCTTGGCTGTAGAACTAGGAGTGCTCAAAGTTTTAAATTTTTCTGTGCAATTGTAGTGATTAAAGTGATAAATCTGCCTTGAAGTTGTGGTGGTTTGGGTCTGGTTATAGGGCAATTCAAAATCTTGCAGGATTTTTGAGACTAAGCACATACCAATGTATCTTTGTCCAATTATTGATTGTAGGAATCACTGTTGACATCTCTAATGTGTGGAGATAATTCAGGAACGAAATTCAAATGTTTCAAAGAGCTTTTGAAATTTGCTATATTATCATATATTAACTTACTTCTACAAGGAACGCCGACAATTGATGAATTGAACTTTGAGATGACATGATTTGTTGAAAAGGGAAAAAGTGTAATTTTTTTTTGTCTCGAACACCTCTTTTGCTACTCATTTGTTCCATTTTAGCTGTAAAGTCCATTATGCTAGATTCGAACTGTTACAATGAAACTAGGAGATATATTTACTTATGTTCTTGCAGATAGGTAATGTATTTGTCTCCACTTGTTGACAACTGTTTATAATAGGTCAATGATCCACCAGTGCGAAATTCGCAAGAAGCATTTATGATGGAGATGCGTGCATCTAGGATGGTGAGTTTTTTTTTCTACTTATACATAGCTCTGGTGTTCAATTAGATGTTCATCTCAAATTAGATAGAATGTGCATATGAATGGTATACATTTCGTATTTGCAAATCGACAGTATTCATGTATGAAAAGTTTCTCTGACCTGAACTCGTAGTGCAAAAACTGTCTTTTACTCTTTCTTTTTTGGGAAAAGGGTCAAAAATACCCCTCAACTTTGGTTTATTGTTTGACTTTACCCTCACCGTTAAAATGAAGTTAAATTTACCCTCACCGTTACTAATTTCACCAAAATTACCCCTCAAATGGACAGAATCCCCAAAATTGACCCAAATTAACCCGAATTTTAAAAAAAGACTCATTCCCCATTTTAAACCCAATGCCCCGACCCCTCTAACCTAAAACCCAATCTCTTTTACCCATTACACTAAGAGAGCATAAGACTGCATTCCTTCTGAGTAATCAACTGCCGGAATAAGCCTCGAAGCTCTAACGTCGGTGCAAAATCACCAAAATCATCCACCACACCATCACTCAACTTCTGCAAAACAGCACACCTTGGCCCTTACCATCAATCTCAATATGGCCATCTTCGTCCCTGCACAGCCTCTCACCCATCGGATAAAACAGCAGTAGAGCTTTGCTTAATACCTCCTTAAGCACCTTTCGGTCAAAAAAATGTAGGGGATCTTGTTGGCCTATAGAAACAAACACTGGTGTGTGGAAATTAGGCACCACCAAATCCACATTAGAGTTCCACAACCTCAGTTGCGGAGTCTCCGTCACCGGCTACACCATCGTTGATTTTCCCACAGAGTTCCACAGCCTCAGCTGCGGCGTCTCAGTCACTAGCTACACAATAGTCGATTTTCCCACCTCGATCTTCATCATTGATCAATCAACTCTATTTCTGAAATGAAAAAAACACAAAAGTTTCTCTAAAATTACCAATCGAAATTACAAATTATTTATTTTCAATTACCCGCTAATGTGATATGCTAGCAGCTTTCATTGTTAAATATCCATTAGCATAATAAAATGAAATTAACTCAATAGAAAATGACTTACCTTGTGAGGAGAAGGAGAATGATATTGTAGTTGAGCTTTTTTGCCTCTATAATAGGGTATTTCAACTGAGGAAGGAGAGGAAGATTAGAGAAATGGATTTAGGGTTTTAATTTGGTATGAATTCGTGGGTCGGGTTCAGATTAAAAGAGAAATCGGGTCGTTTTAATCAAAATTGGGTAATTTTAGTTGATTTGGGGCTTTCCATCCATTTGAGGGGTAATTTTGGTGAAATTAGTAACGGTGAGGGTAAATTTAACTTCATTTTAACGGCGAGGGTAAAGTCAAACAATAAACCAAAGTTGAAGGGTATTTTTGACCCTTTTCCCTTCTTTTTTTCTAATTGAAATATGACTGAACAGTGGAAGCAAAGGTCATCACCATTTTAAAGTCGTTCTATAATTTATGGTGATTTTTACTCATTATCCACTTCTTTTTATATCGTAGATACTTGATTTATCAAACTGACATAGAACGTAAGTTTTTCCTTTAGGCTATAAGTGTGATCCTCTCTTTGCCTCTTCTCATAGCTTCAGTGCCTTCTTGTGAGTGCTAGTCATCTACTATCCTTAACATAGCTTGTTGTGTTGCCTGCTATAAGCAAGACTTGTTGTCATTTCCTTTTTGAACTAATGCAAAGACTTTCACTAAAGTGCAGAGATCTTAAGCTATTCAATTGTGCTTGCCTCTTAAATTTTCAGATACAACTATTCTCCCTATCATCTAATATAATATATTGGATGCAATGAACAACAGGTCCACGCAGCTGATTCACTGCTTAAGTTGGTGTCGGAGTTGAAGCAAACAGCTATGTTTTCAGGATTTGCATCTCTAAATGATCATGTGGAGCAGAGAACAGAAGAATTTACCAAACAGGCTGAGAAAACAGAATGCATGTTATCCAGAATTGGAGAGGAGGCAGCTGCTAGCCTTAAGGAGCTTGAGTCGCACTATTATTCTTCTGCAGAAAGAACCAGTAGTCTGCCTTCTTACAGCCAAGAAACAATGCCCTAAACATGGCTACAATCGTTTTTTTCTTTCCCATTGGTTTTCCCTCTCCCTCCTCTTGCTAATTATATTTGTCTACCTTGAAGGTAATACATACTATGAGGTTACTGGACAAACAATCTAATGATCAGAAATCCAAATTAGTCCCAACTGACTATTACTACTACCAGGCCTTCTACAAGTGAAGCAAACCTCATTAAGACAGTATTTGTTATAACAAATCAACTGCATTCTAGCTAAGAAAAATATGGAACACCAATTATAGTGGAGGTACCATACTTCAAATTTGACTGCTATTTTAAAGATTTTACTCTATAGCTTATCATATACGTGGTGTGATAGTATCACACCAGGCACGGTGTTGATTATCCTTATTGGAAGATTCAAGTTGGAAAATATTGTGTTCTTGCAACAACTTTTTGCCAGGTTGCTTACTTGTTACTCGACCTTTTGAGCTTAATAGGAATTCGTTTAAGACGTGCCTATCGGACTTTATGTTATTTCTACCTCAACAAACGTTTATGTTAGTAAGGTAAATTTTGAGAAGATTGATGCTAAGCAAGCTGAGAAGAACTGTTTGTCCAAAGGCTTTTGAGGGTGTCTCTGATTTGAAGGATTATTTGGCCAACTAAAGTCGAGCATGAAATCACATGAGAGTCTTTTAGGTAAAGAAGTACAAAAATACTCTTGTTTGATTTAAGATCTATTGATTTCTTGGCCAGCAAAGTTTTGGAGTAAAACAGATGTAGCATTTTCAAATAGATGTATATTAGGGTAGGGGTAGAAAATTTTCAGACTTTTCATAGCAACCTAAAATAAAACCTGCATTATCCAATTTAATTGCACTTTTGAGTATAAATTATTTTATACATACATAGCTAAATTTTTTTTGAAGATTATCTTTTAGTCATCAAAGTAAAGAACGTCACAAGTAAACCAGAGAGAGTTTCCGATTTCTGACTAGTAAATCAATATTCTTTTCAGATGAGAAAACAAAACTTGAAGGACGCTAGGCTTGAGAGTTTCAACCTAATCTTAAAAACTGAAAATCAACTGCAGAACTACTGTCTTCCGGATTATCATTTTGGTAGGGAGGGAAGAGGTCTTCATATGCACCGCGAATTTAATGGGACTTCACATACTCTTGGACAATATGCAGACCCTCAGTCTCTTCTCCATAATCCTGCAAAACGATCACAAGATCAACTATGATGGAAAATCTTCTCTTTTCACAACTTATCAGGTTCTATTCATATTTCAGCATTTTCAAGAAATATTTCCTATAATTGCAGGAAGATATAACCAAATTATATATATGCATGCGAGAAAGAGATTATGATATGCAGCAGTTCATGGATATACCTTCACAACAACACAGCCGCAGCCGGTCACCTTCCTTGCTTTCCCTTCAGAATCGATCTTACACAACTGCAAACAGATCCCCAAAAATAAGAATTGAAAAAAAAAAATTGTACTCCAATGATGAAAATGGACATCAAGAGAAGTCAGGAAGTAAATAGTTATCACCACCTCCCTTAAAAGGACAAATGGGTCTATTATTTTAATAACCGGCAAAACCCCGGACTAATAGCACAGTTCAAAACTCAGTGAATAACAAGCTTTTGTCTCAGCAAGGCATGTGCCTAACCCACACAATATCACGTGTTGTGGTCGTACCACTAGACAATCAGTAGGTTTATTGGTAAGGCGCACCTTCATAACAACACACACTCCAGTTCATTTTCAAAATTAGAAGGTAAGAGTGGCAGACAGTAAAACTGGGAGAGCCTTGGAGCTAAAAAGTAGCAAGTAGCAAGTAGCAACCACAAATAAACTTACACCAGCCCATTCGCCAAGAATTTTTGCATTCGGGACCGTAATCAAACTGACATTGTGATCAGCACAGAGTGCTTTGACCAATTTGACATAATCTGGCTGGTCACAGTCCTCTGCTAACACACAAAGTTGTGCAGCATGCTTCTCAATCACCTTTGCACCTTCATGTAGTCCCCGAGAGAGGCCTCCATGAGCTCTAGACTTCCTCAGCACCAGCTGCAAAGCAGTCATGATGTCCATGGGCTCTCCAAGTGCTGGTGCAGGAGCCTCGGCAACAGCAGCAACAACAGCAACATCCTCTCTACAGTCGAAGGAGATATTAAGCAGAGAACCCTCGGGCAAAAGTTTAAGGTAGTAAAAAACTAAAAAAACATAATTAATTAAGCACAGATCAGTATCAAATGTGGCATGAATAATGGAAAACAGAAAAACAAAGTCCAGTTTTCAGCAAAGGCAAACTGAAAGGGATATCCCTAACCATTAAGTGCCACATTCAATGAAACTTGGGAGACAGCTTTACTTAGGATACCAAGTCCAATGAATGGTTTGCCAGGGAATAGAAATACCCCCCATTGATTTGAAGTTCCAAGACATAAGCTGATTCTCAAAATTTTGAACTAAACTAAAATGTTTATATGACACATAAAATGTCTGATACCAGGTGAGGACTGTTATCTATGGCTCATTGTATAATTTTCTGGAAACAAGGAACGGAGTGCTGCTCCATATAAATTAAAGCTGTCGTGGTGAGCCATTCTATTTCCTGTTTAAATTTTACATCTACTTCATAAAAAGATGGAGGGCAATCTCATGATATTCATGTAAAACCAAGAAGGAGACCGATAAAGAGATGATACGGAGGGAGATCAAGAAAGGTAAAGGACAAAGAAACAAAAGAATTTCCCGGAGAATTGATGACCATCTCAAGTCACTATCAATACGTGATAGGTTCCTACACAAATTATCCATTTGTTCACTGAAAAAGGACCTCACTTTTCATCTTACATACTTCAACAAATAAAACATTTCACCAAACTCGCTACTTTGCCATAAAAATGAAACCCCAACATCAGTCCATTTTCTCTAGGACAAATATTGTGAAAAATAACACTCTTGTCTATCCACATCACTAATCATTCATTTCAGGGTCGACCTATGGATAAAAGACTTTCTATATCTTTCACTTCTGTATTTGAGGTAGTGATAGCATGTTTTTGGTTTTTCGTAAGCGTCATCAGGCAAGTGGTATTTAGTTCTGCTTCAAGCAATTAACTAGCAAAGCAGCAAAGTCCTATGTGGTTCTGCTAAATGGGTTCTTCTGAAGCTCTTATAGAAACATCTACAAAGTAATAAGGTCAACACTCTTTTTCTTGTTTACTGACATTTCAAAACACGAAACAATTGTACAAAGTCTTGTGTACTACAATCAATCATCTATCCCAATATATCAATTCCACTATATTTGGACCCAGTTCATTCTACTACTCAATAATTTGTAACGAACTCCCTGAAACAAGAGATTCACTAAACAGCACATTTATTCCCTACATTGGCATACAAATCTCTAACCAAACTAAAGACTCCTCGCAAACATAGGAACATAATTGTAAAAGAATAGTTCAAATAGCACTCGAATAACACGGACTACTACACACATACAAACATAATCCACACCAAGTTGCAAAAACTACTGATAAAGCTGATCAAAATACTGGTCTCCAGATCATTACAAACGAAAACGACATCGACTGCAACACTTACAATCAAGTAAACAAACTGAATTTGACAATAAAGTTAACTAAATTCCACTTACCCTGACATTTTTCCAGCAATATTGGTATACCAAAAACTCTACTACCTGTTCCTCTCAAAAGTAAGACACGGAACTTAGTTAGGTAAATAGAATCAACAATAGACTCCATAAACCCTCATCCCAAATATACCGTGCATATACAGCTTTAACAAAGACTACATCTTTAATATATATTTCAAAATAATCTTAATATTAAGTTCAAATCGAAGACATGATAAATGTGCATCAATCAAAGTATGAAAATACCCAATAAAATATTATGCAATAAAAGTAACAAAGAATTATATCAAACATGAATCTTGAAGTATAAACATTGTTCCTTTTTGCCAGTTAAGTAATGGTAAAAAGGGGTCACCTCAAAAAAAAAATGTAGATGTCAAGAACTTTAGTAATGGGGAATTGTTATTGAGTGAATAGGGCAAGATGAAGATTTATATGAACCCTAAAACAGTGGCAGTCTAATTACTATACTACCCTTTTTATGATTTATTTTTTTCTTTCTCTGATAAATAAATTGATGCATTTCTAATTATTGAATTGCCTTTTTGCGATACACTTATACTGTACTTTTTTTCGTTGGGATAATTCACTCATTGCTCCCCTAGTTGATGCATTTTCTAATTTGGATTGGTTTTTTGGTTTAGTTTTGAATTAGTGATTTATTTTGTTTGATTTTGGATTTCAAAAAATAAAATCAATTTGAACAACTATAACTTGGAGTTAATCACTTTTGTCCCTTTTTAGTTATTTTATTTAGTTTATATTTTATGTTTGAACATCTATAATTGATATACTTTTAAGTATTGTGTTTTACTTTTTACTTGTAATTTATATTAGAAAGTATATTTAAGAGATTCAATATTATTACTCCTCCTTGTATATATGTATATTATTTTTTCAAATTGCGAATGTAACTTTGATTATGTTTCTAATTATTGGCATAATCGAATAACCAAACTGAAAAGAGAAAAACCAAATCAAACCAAATTAATTTCAGTTTGGATTGAATTACACTTCTTCAAAACCAAAAATCGAAAAACCCAAACCGAATAGTATGTTTAGATATGAAACCTTTTGGAATTAAAGTTGAATGATATAATATGTTCACAGTTTGGTTAAAACCTCATCCAAATTAATACCCTGCCTTATTTTGATGTGACATCATTTGACATGATATTTAAGAATTATTTTTTTAAAAAAATTTGTGATCTAATTTTAAAGTTACATTATTTCTAATGATAGTAAAATGATCAGTACTATTTTTTCTTGGGATGAACTAATAAGGAAATGGTGCCACATAAAATGAGATAGAGAAAGTAATAAAATCAATTTTCGTTTGGTATTACATTTAGTTTGATTTAATTTTTAATAATTAAAAAGTTACTAAATTGATTCAATTTTTCATTTTTACCAGTACTTACAAAGTTACAATAGTCCTATCTGCGCTTTTGTAGATGATGTTGGATCATTTTAGCTAAGGAAAACCCGGCCCGTTTAACACTTTTCTA